GGCGTAAGAGAGGGTACCGGATGACCTCTACACACATTCTGTTGAACTATTTATTGTTGTTAACAGTTCTTTCTTTATTCTGTACTGAAACTGAATACTGCGCAAGCATCAAAGCTTGCGTGCCATTTCGTCAGCGCCGCCCCTACATTACGCCTCTCCGCCTTTATCTTCGCAGTGCAATTTTAGCTGTTGAGTAGCCGAGAGCAGGGCACTGACCGAGTTCAAACAGACAGGATCGCCATCGGCTTTGCATTTGTTTGAAAGAATCAAACAACCGTTAGACTGCAAGAAATGAGACTGCACATCTGACATCGTTCAGTCTGTAAATGGAGCGGTCCACCTTAGCGCTGGAGCGCAGTCGGTCGCGGACAACGACGTCATTTCTCTCCGATGTAAAAATAAATGGAAGCAGCTGTTGGGAAATATGATGACCCTCATAAGTGCTTTGAGGAAATCATGCATTGACTGCGTCCATACCATTTCATATCTCCATCAAGCATGTTCCGCACACAAGTACACTCCAAGCGATAATATGCTCACAACCTACAATACACCTAATTTCAGAAACAAGTGAAGCTGGTTACACAACCTACTGCTGCTTCTGCTGAGAATGAAGGGTAAGCTTAATATTGTCATTCTGTGATACAACTTGGAATTGTTCAATGCTTCAAAAATAGGAAGGCGCCGCAACAAAAAATTGAAAGCAAAACCAAGGAAAAAGAGAACCCAGTCCGTGGATGGGAAACAAGCGGGAAATAGCGATGAAGAAGATGACACGCTGCTAGGTGTGGCAAGTATCCAAAATTGCCCAGAGGGAGGCCCACAACCCCAGGACGAGCCCATCCCTGTCAAGTAGACCAGGTTGCTCGACGTGTGCTAGACTACCTAATTACATGTAGATCCTTTTGGCAATCCACGATATGTCAATCTCGGTCTCGTTACTGTGAATCAACTTAGCGGAATTCTTATTGTATTGATAGTCTTCAATCTCGTTAAACTCTTGAGCCAAAATATATGCATTGACTATTTGAAAATAAAGTGTTGAACATTTTCAGTGGTCCCACTAGGCGATCGTGCGGACAAATTTTATAGAGCTGGGGCAAAAAAACCACGATCGTACGACTATTCATTGGGCTGTCTCGAGATCCCTAACAAGCGAAGTCAACGCGGAAGGCATATAAAGCCATTCAGGCAGAGAGTTATTCGTTTAATCTTGTAATTATTATCTACTCTTGCCTTAATGGCAAGTGTTTGAATAGACTCATGTTGTTCAAATATGTAGGAAGAGGTGCCAACAGTAAGTTCTCGCGTTCAAACAAACTATCGGAAGCGCATAAAAAACCTTTCAGTCCTGGAGATTGTAGGAGTTGACCGGCGCTCAAATGATTTATACGACTGCTCACTAATACGGGTAGCTGTCACAATGTGATGGTGTCACCTGACTGAAGTAGTGCGCTGCATGCAATGACTTAGAGAAGTACCGTCGATTGCCGAACATCAGTCGCATCAAACTGATCTCGGAAAAAATTCACCGGCTCGCCGGCTGACGGCCGGCGCGCCTCTACTCTGATACGGGCCTGCTTCGCTTGGCGAGCGTGACTTCGCCCTGCGTACCTTCTTTCGTATGCCTGAATGCTCAACTATACTCGGCTTCTCTTTCAAATGTGCTCTTGGTCAGCATCTACTACCACACCATAGACGATCATATTGTTGAAAGAAGCAGGTATGGTTCTACTGGTTAAGGATCGTTGACCATGTGTAAGATAAATGACGTGGAACGTCTAGATATGTGTATAGATACGGGAAATGTCGGGTATTACTTGGTTATCCAAATAGACGAGAGAAAGTAGGCGTGGTGAAGCTGGGCCGTATCACAAAAGGAGGGGCGCGGGCGTCGGCCGGCGAGCTGAATAGTGATATATGTGATAAAACAAAAGTGAATAATGATAAAACGTAAAAAAGATGGTGACTCAAAGCTGCTCCTGTGGAATTAGCCTCGTGGTACAACAATACACCTCTTGCTGAGAAACTTTGTCAGAACGGTGCATTAAAGGCAGTTCATCACGATAAATCCCCCAAGACGACTAGGATCAATACTCCTGGCAGGATAGAATTGACCCTGGGCAGGCGCTGCATAGCGGTTTCCCCGAGGAAGGTGCCCTTATAAGGGCCCTATCAAGCCACAACTTTACGTCCCAAACGCCCGCCACGCCCGCCCGCCCACAAATGGACGACCGTTCCTGACGCTCGTATTCATTCATTTGCTAAGCAAATTATGAAGCGAAGGGATTGGTATGAAGCGGCCGTGATGCTGCATGCATACATGGGTACACATATGCAGCCGTATCTTCGGTAGCGGTGATTGGTAAGATGCCTACGGGAAACTCGTCCGAAATCGATTTACAAGTCACTGAGAACGGAGGCTTTTTCTTCGCAGGATTTTGACCGTTTCACTCCGTTCTTTCGCCATTTCCCCACTATACAGCGCCCTACTAGCATTTTGGCCGAGCACCAAATCATCGTGCCAACTGCCTTTAAAAAGCTAAAAGGATCGAAGCTAAGGCGCTTTACGGTCCCTATTAAGATGAAGCATATACTTCCACTTCCATTTGGAATCGTGGTACCTGTTAGGTGTGAACTGTTCTATGCGATGGGTTACGAGGGTAGCCAGTTCAGAAGCCTGCGTTTTCATGACTCCCATACTGGTCATTCAGACTGTCCACGGAGCAGCAGGAGAGCTTGGGTGATCTCAGAGCAATAAGTTTCCACCTTTCATATCCCACTTCTGATCTTGACAACACGCGAATCTCGATTCCTACTGGCGGAGTGGACTCAAACGTTTTTTGAGTCTTACAGCGAACTAATCCTTCGAACTTTCTTCCCTTGGGGCCTTCTCTTTCTACTATTCGCATCAAATTTCTGTTGTCTAATCTCTCATCATCTTCTCAATCTCCAGTCTTCATTGATTCTTTTTATGGCAACACCGCTCCAGGAGTGTGATTCGAACCAACTTTCCCTGACAGCACTTGCTTTAAAATTATAGTGTCTCATCCAGGCTGCGTTCATACTTTGCGGCAGCGTCCACCACCATAGGTTCCGAGTGTCAGCAGCGTCAGCGACTATAGACAGGACAATTATGGATATAGATATAGCTCCTAACAGCGTCCTCCATCGTCTATTGTCTACTAGCGTCCTCTAGCGTCTACCAGCGTCCACCGTGAGAGAGAGGAGGGTGTGGCGCGGTAGGAGGGTAGCTGGCAGCTAGTACCCTTCTATGGCGCCATACTCTACAACAGTCTGCCACTCTGTTATCTCCCCATACTCTACAAGCTGTCCGCTACCCTATTATCGCGCAATACTCTGTCCCAGCAAAATGCTACCCTCCGTACACTTCAAGCTGTCTGCTACGCTCCCATCGCGCCATACTCTCCTCTTGCAGACTCTAGTAGAGTAGTGCACGCTGGCAGACGCTTTCAGACTAGATTGATAGCAATAGTTCTCAGGCCCTCGAGACACTGGTAGACGCCTGCGAAGGCTGCGAGACGCTTGGGCGAGCTGGTAGATGCTGGCAGACGCTAGATCGATATCTATTAGGTTGGTGCATAAGTTCTCGGCCCCCTGTTTTGATCCTTCCGTATTTCGTTTGCATGGAGGTTGGTATTTCGTCATCACGTGTGCGTGACTACATGATACTCTTTCACCACACTAGCTATCACTCATCCACCCCAGGCTACAATGCCGCACAATTACCAGTGCAAAACCATGTCACAGTGGTGATTGTGCGGCATTGTGGCCTTCTTCGAATCCCAGCCCCCGTCGTTCTGGGAGGATGGAATCGACAAGCTGCCTGAGCGCTGGCGACGAGTAGTTCATGGTGATGGTGCATACCTCTAATCTTCAGGTTGGTTATTGAGATATTTACGAAAAAGTCGTGGCTAAGAACTTATGCACCAACCTATACTGTCTTAGTCGCTGACGCTGCTGGACGCTCGAGCGCTGGTGGACGCTATTGTTCGCTGGTTTATGCTGCCGCAAAGTACGAACGTAGCCCTATTGTTAGCGCACGCGGCGAACGTGACGTCACGCGATCTTATTTTACGGGGGACTTACCTACTGATGCAGAGGATAGCAGGGGAGAACAGCAAAGTCGATTAGTCCGCAACAAATGGAAGTGTTGAAGATTGTGCACAACGAGGGCTGGTATAGCAAATACTGTTGTCCAGTCCACTGAAACTACAGTCCTCATCATTGCAGACCGGTGGGGCGTGTCAGCCAGAAGGAGCGCGCACATTGTTGGAGCCGTTCTCAGCCTTTTTTGTTGCAACGCGTATGCGACAAAAAGTGGTAGAAAACGAGTAATACGAAGGAATAATACAGTAATGCACTTGCCCGCTTCAAAAACTGGTGCAGAACGATTTTGCCGAACCGCACCAAACGCAGCCGCACTGCCACATCCCACCGCACAAATGGATGCAGGACTGTTAAATTAGCGTGAGCACGGGCAAGATGCGGGCTATGCTAGCATTAGAGTCATATGCGCATCCACGCAGTTAATGGCAGGTAGATAAGATGCACGCTGGCTTGCCATCGGAAAGCAGCTGTCATGTGAAGCATAACTTAGCGAGACATTGTTAATTCTAGGGTCACCAATCTCTCAACCTAAATAAGGGGTGTGAGGGCGATCATAGAAAATTAGGGTCCCATGTTAGGACGTAGTGCCTAACATGGAGCGGCGAGCTTTGAATGCGCTGATGCACGCATTTAGAGTAGCTGATTTCCACCTTAGTGATTTAAACGTTTAGATCCTAATTTTACCCGTGGCACACACGGCCCTCCCTTCACAGCAAGATTCAAACCACTCCCACATCGCAGAATCTCCGACCCAAGCTCGGCCTTGTTACTTTCCATGAAAGGCAACAGTTTTATTTCTCAAAACAAATCAAAAATTCCTCCATTCCATCGTGTTCCTTCGGATCTTCGCGGTCCTGTCGAGCCGAGCCTCACGGCACTCTGAATGATCAACAAGTTCTAAGGAATAATAAATAACAACTTTCACCGGTTTCCGGCTGAACCTCCACCATTACGTAGTTTTAAAATACTTTTTTTAACCTGGTGAGGACTTAACAACTAACTTACACTCTCGTTTGTAGTTCTCGATGAATTCCAAAGCTTCGTATTCAGTTGCAAATTTCTTAAATCTGAAAGAGTGTCTAACAGGATAGAGAGCGACGGGAACTATTTGCTAACAATGCTTTGAAGGCAAGCTTAAAACCTTTGATGAAATATGTACCTACTTTGCACGAGGGAATCCAGCGACCTGCTGACTACACTCGTCCCACGAACGAAAGACACCGACTATGCGGCCGTTCGCAACAGCATAGTAGTCGTCGGATTGCGCAAATTCTGTCATTGATGAAGTGAAGGCTTACAACAGTCACATCTATTTATTATTTATCCATCACGTGGTTTTAAAATAATTCGCTAAATTTGTAAGGCTTGAGAAATAACTTACGCCCCTTTTGGTATGCCTCGATCCACGCCCAAGCATCGCGTTCATTTGTAAACTTCTTATATCTGAAAGAGTGTCTAACAGGATAGTGAGTGACGGGAATTATTTGCTAACAATGCTTCGAATGCAAGCTTGAAATCTTTGATGAAATACCTTGCACCAACATATCCATCGATTTGGTCTCGACAATCATCCCACGAAGTATAGACGCCGACTATGCGGCCAACCGCTACAGCATAGAAGAACTCCCTTGTCATAGTCTTCTGTTTTTGATGAAGTATAGGTTCACAACAGTACTGAAACAGCAAGTTTAGAGAAAACTGAGTGTGAGTTCTGAGGTACAAATCGACACCTCGATGGGAAAGCGTGAGAGCTTGTTTCCTGTTGTTTAGTGAAATGTCGCGCTCACTTCCACTCATCAGATTAACTAGTAGAACAGCACATCCGAACAAGAACGTTGCAATTAAACAAAGTCAAATTTAAATCGTAGAGGTTCATACTGCCTCTCTCCAGTGACGTGTTCTCTGAGTGAGTAGGTTGTCGTTCCACTCGGTCCTGCGAGCAACGAACGATCTCGTGTCCATCGAGCACTTGTTGCTTGTTCTCCTCTTTTCAAATTTTGGTGGAGCAATTGTCTTCGCATTTCTCAAGTGAAATCTGTGAGTCTCATGATGGAAACTGTATCCCGACAAGCGTTTCGGCGTCCAGCAGACATGCAGCGTCTTGAAGTATCATGATATCGATTTAGCGCTTGAGTCTAGCTCTGCTCAGCGTTCCTGGAGAGGGATGGTATTGCCCCATGGGAGGGATTGTGACACCGTAAAAACTTCTGGTAGGTGTCCTGCCACGAGATAGGTCCAGACGCTAAAGCAATCGGAGTAACCTGCTATTTAGCAAGGCATGCGTTGTGAAAGGCTACATAAAAACCCACCTGCGAGAGCCAGGAGATTGAGTGTCTTCGAGCGAGTAGAGCGGACTGTGCATGAGACACCTTCTAATATGCTGTGAAGTGTTGGAACGCTGAAGGTCAAAGTGCAACTTATCTGCGCATTCAGTTGCAAGAGAGCGCTAGAGGAAGAGAGAGAGAGAAGTTTGGCAGCGTGAATCATAAAGGGAGTTCGAGTTCTAAGGTTGTCCGTAGGCTGTATCGGAGGGTAGCTAGACCAGCTGGTAAAGTATGGCATGAATATAGGCAGGGCAAGAGCAGTTTGCTCGTACAACGAAGCGCCAAATAAAAAGGTCTGAGATAAAAGATGTTTGTTCTGAGTTGCCGGTGCATGTTATTCCCTTGTACCCGAAAGACGACTAAAGGTAAAGGCTTACATATTGTATCTGGAGATTTGGCTTTATTTTTGCTTGGCATAACGAACACTCGAGTGAGAAGAGCCACGGTTTTTTGGACCACCAAATCATGTGGTTGTCATGGACTGGTCTGAAAGATGGTTCACAAATGTCTTTCTCGCGGCCATCTATATCCCAAAACTCCCTTATATGTAGTCTGGAAGCAATAGTAGAAAGCTGATACAACAGTTACGAACTTACCGAGTATCTTTGCAACAACGGGGCATACGGCCAACGCCGTGTTGACTTCTTCGATATAATCGTCAGCCCTACTTTATCAAGGTGATTAGGATAGGCGAATACACATGGTGAATTACAAGTAAGCGGGTCAAGCAGGAAGATAAGTGTGTCAGAGTGGACGTGCTTCGGTGTTAATCTATGCATTAGTCATAAACAGGCAGAAAACAATATGCGTAGTGAACATTTATCGGCGCCTAACTTTGTTGCAGCTTCGGCTCGGATAGAGACGGAATTTTCGTGCAATAACTTCTCCCCCTTGTTCACTGATTTTGCGTATTGACATCAAAATCACTACTTCGAGGGCTAGCACCCCAGACTACCTTGTGTTCATTCACTCTGTGGCATAAACTTCACAGGTAAGAAAGGCAGAGTACTGCGCTTGCATTGTGGACCGCCCAACAAGTTTAGGGTGGAGAGACCTGCTTAGCTTGCTCGGGAACCAGATTCTAGTGAAAGCCATCAATGACGTCTCATGCTCTCTCCAGGTGTCTGACGTTTTCCAGAAATTTTTATAGGGTCTGCGGTCCAGCAAGGTCTCGGCGAGTAAGCTCTGAACCATTGATCCCACGGAACAAGCGTATCAGAGGCCAGGAAAAACGAGAGTACTTTTCAGACGTTCGCATACGGTGAGATATGAGCTCGGAATGATTTTTGCTGCTTTCAAGCAATAGTCTCCTAAAAAAATGTATGAACGATATAGCCAGGAATTTCCTTAGTTCTAGTTTTGCGACAGGGCCAACATCAACATGTAAATTTTTGGTTTTGGTCCTCTCAGCTGACTTCGAATTTCTACAAATGGGTCGTATGGGATGCCCTCAACGTGGAACGTCGCACCAATGCTCTCCACTCCTGCCACCAAACCGATCAGTGGATTCTTTTATCTACAACAGCTGTATACCGTTTCCAGAAAATTTGTACACAAATTAATATTGACCAATGAACCATCTCAGGTATGACCGGCTCGTTACCAGGAGCAACGCCACATGCGGTCGGTTCACGTTTCCAGTTCTGTAGCAGTTCTCAAAGCAAGTGATTATTTCACTGCATACACGTTGTTGGCCAAGGGGCTCGGGCAAGTCACCTGACAAATCAGGTCGCTGTCTTAATGCATACGATATATTCAAGGCGGTTGGGTACGCTAACGCGTTGCGCAGAGCATGTGTCGAATACGAATCCGCTGGAAGTAAGTCTCTGTCGACCCAAATGTGGCTGAAAAATACAAAAACAGGCAGCGATGGGAGAGATCTCGGATCAACTACTTTAATTTCGAGAACTCACGCACATTCGGAGGCTGCCGCTAGAACGCGTTTTCCGCCGTGCTACCGTGGTACTGTAGCTAGGTATTTTGCGGTATCTTCCCAAAATAGGTCAGGAACTCCGGAAGCAGGCCACAGAATCATGATGTGTGAAATGGTGGTGACAGTACGACCCCTCCCCCCCTCCTATCGAGGAAGAGTCTCGGTACGACCCTCTCCACCCACCCCAACACCTACCTATCAGTTTATTACATTTTTCAGTTTTTCCCCAAATTCAGTTTTTTGGCCGAGCGCCCAAAAACTTTGATGTCGAACGCTGAGCCGGGGGAGGTAGTATATGAGGGGTAGGGGCTGTTGGGGGTTCGGAGGGTGCGTGAAACAACGTGAAACAGGAAAAATCACAAAAAGTCAGGCAACCTTCTTCAAGGGGGAATACGAACCCCCCTCCCTCTTCCTCCAACTACGGCCAAGTACTACCCCCATGTGAAGCAACAATGCTGAACCGTGACCGAAATTACCCTTTTGTGGAAATAAATAACATTATCGAGTGTGGAGCTTCTGAAGAAGGGAAAACACTTCTGAAAAGGGGAAACAGTGTTGTGAATTCTTGAGCGCACTGGAAAGCTCTTTTTTAACACGTTGACGACAATCGCGTTTTGCGGGAAAGCGCCACGTGGGACAATGGCGTGCTTTCGCATGCGTCCGCCCTGAGCCACCGGTGGCTCATATTGTCCCACGTGGCCACTCACTCATGAGCCACCGGTGGCTCAGAATGTCGTCAACGTGTTAAGGAATTTCTCTCGCTGTAACACCGTTTGAAGGTAAGCGTCACCTGCGAGTTTTCATATCTCGAACAGCCATAACTTAATCGTATGCAAGCTCTCGTGAAACCGAAAGAGTGCCGAAATCTAGAAGACTTGCACTTTGCTAAGGCCCGCTGTTTGGAGGTCTAAGGAGACGACAATTTGATACTCGGTCTAAAATGGTGGCCGGGGTGCTATATAATGGGGAAAACGGTGAAAAAGCGGGGAGAAGGAGGTCAAACACTCGCGCAAAAACTTTTCATTCTACACGACTCAGAGGCGATCCCCTTTGGCGGAGTTTCCCATTGGCATCGTGCTGCCTGTATGTACACACATCCATGCAGCAGCGCATCGCTTCATATCAGCCCCTTCCCTTTATATTGTAATTCGCAAATGAAGCGAGTATCAGGATCGGTCGATTAGTGGGCACGCGAGCACGGGGGGCTTCCCGGTCGGTATTTGAGGCTTGATAGGGGTACCTTCCTTGGAAAGAGCGCAACGCAGCGACTGCTCAGGGGCGCCGAACTACGATTGTTGAGTAATCGACAACGAGACTCATATTGCCGACTCTTTACAGTATTACAAAATTTGAGTTGAAAAAGAGAATTTCAAACTGGTAGACCGTGACAGTAGCCACTCACGGCTCCTTGAAGGCAGCTTTTGAACCACATGTACACGAGAGCGGAGAGCATGATCCAGTCGGGCATCGTAAGCTGGCCGCTCCACGATCGACAAGTTCAGCAGTCAAAATGGTTATTCATTAGCCAGGCATGCAAACCTAAGATTCTCTTGTTTGTCCGCCTGCACCGTTTTCTGTCTTTGGGAAGAAAATAAGCTACACGGCCTAAAATAGGAAGACCAAAAATGCCACAAACGTTTTTGGTAACGCAAGACTTCGAAAGAAGTCATTTCGCTGGGTCAGTCTTTTTGTAATGTGGCCCCGTTCTCTCTCTATTCAGGATCGTAGTGGCTCGTTGAGTGCGATACAGAGCACCTCGCTTGTTCGGGTCCGCGATCGATGCGCATGCTTTCAACTGCATCGATCGCGTCGAACGCGCGACCGAAGCGCTGCCGTCGCGAAGTCTGAACGCTGCCTAAAAGAGCCCTCAGGGGGTTCGTAGTTATTCCGAAGCGAGGGGTATTTGATCTGCGAATGCCAATGGAAAGGGAGGTCGTCATTTTATTTGTCGTTGGGAAATCGGAGGCTGTTACTGCCTTTGCTGTTGTTACTGCCTTTGCCTGTTTGCAAACTGCCTCCCTTTGCATTGTCAGTTGACAAGTGTTAGTGCCGCACAGAGCCAGCTTTTGTGATGTCTCCGAATCTTTCGAAAACACAAAAGGAAATAATACAAATAATCCTTGATAGTCACCTACGGAATAAAATTAAAGGCTATAGGGTTAGGTACCCCAGGCTGATTTGCTGTGCTACTGGTCCTATTTCCATTCGAATTGAACTGTCACTAGAACTTTGCTTGGCCAATGTAATGACTCGAAAGACCAGCCGATTTATGCATGTAAAAGTTGGGTCTTTATCTCTCAGAGATGCCAACGACAATGTTGGTTGAAATAGATGGTATTACGCGTCCAAACACCAAGAAGCGCCTTTGATAAGTCAGATTTGTAGCCATCTCTTATCACCGTTTGTAATTGTCATCAAAAGATCTCACGAGAAAGGCCGTTGATGCAATTGTTAGGGAGAGCAGAAAGTATTTCTGAAAACTACTTCTTTTGTTTAGTGGGGTATTCCTTGAGATTAGCTTGAAGGGCGCCGAGACTCGA